GTCCTGCCTGCACCCTCAATTGTCAAGGCCTTGTGACCTCTGTCCTTGGATGCGTCCTCCCCCAAGCGGAGGGGTCCAGAGGGAGAGGGCCCTTAGGACAAGGGCGATGGGCAGTCAGAAATTTTTGTACAAGAAGAGAGGGTGTCAGGGGAAAATTTTTAGGACCCAGATGGGACATTAGCGGTTTTCCATTGATAGATAGACCTCGGGGGTGCGGTCCTCCATTTCCAGATGATGATAATGGACCTGTATGGGCTTAGAGGCCAAGATATTAATCTGTTCCTTAATAAATTGTACCAGCCTGTTTATAATGCAGGGTCCTGTGGTGATCTTCAAAAGTAGACCCAATAAAGGGCCCAATAGGGGAAGAAGGTAGGGTAAAAATCCATTAAGCCCTGTCCAGAGTGGATTTTCAAACAGCTCCCGTCGTCTCTTTTCTAAGTCTTCCTGAAGCTGCTTAATTTTAGTGCGTACCATGCCTGATTTATTGGCCTAAAAGCAGCATCGTTCCCCTAAGGCCAGGCAAATACCTCCCTGGTTAGCTGTCAGTAGATCTAAGCCTCGTCTGTTCTGAAGGACCACCTCTGCCAGAGAATCTATTTGGTCCTGTAGATCTTTAATGGTTCCTGATAGAGTTTGTACATCATCTATAAGTTGTTGAGACAGGCGATGGTAAGAGTGTATAGCCGTGCCTAAGCCAGCGGTACCTGTGCCTACAGCTGTTGCTATTCCAAGGCTGGCAAGGAGCGGTAAGGCTTGTATGGCCCGCCTGTGTCTTTTTACCAGGGTGTCTAGGCTAGGAATGGGTAGAGCCTCATCTCCTGAGACAACAGTTATATCAGGGAGCAATAAGGCAAGAACACAGCCACCGGTCCAATTGGCTGGAAGCCTGGGGAAGGCTAAGTTTCCTCCACACATAAAAACCGTGCCACTGGGGGGACAAAGAGGTGGGGTGGGTGAGGAATAGTTTTGTACTGACGAGCAATTTCCAAAAGAAGTAACCCCAACATCAATATCATAGGAGTTATTCTGCATCATGCCTAAAAGACATAATGTAAGGGTATCCATAGGCTGTACTCTAAAAGGAAGCCCGGGTTGACAGGTATCATCACCATTTATGGTAGAATTAACATGAACTGCCATGGGCATTATCGCCCCTGTTGTCATGCAAAGCCAGCAATCACTAGCAAGGTGAGAGTTGGAATCATTAAGCAAGGAAAAGGTAGTCTCCAAGATATCCAAGGTATTAGTATCTAAATCTGGGAGTTGGGATTTAGGCAGCATTAAAGGATGATATGTAAGCTCAGGGATTTGGGTTTTTTAAAAGCTTAATTATCTGAAGATGCTTAACAGCATCAGTGGGTCCTCCACCATCAGAGACCCCCGTAGGGGCCTTAGCAGGCCAGCAGGATGGTTTACCAACAGTGCCTTGGCATCCAGCCAACTGCAATTTGGTGTATCTGCCTTCTCCTCCCCAGTTGAAGAGAATGGGGGTATAATGAGTAGTGGTCCCCCCTGCTGCACGAGTTTTAGTTAAGATGGCTTCAAAATGTTGTATTCCCTGCTTATTAACACAAATTGAGGCTGACTCATAACAAGAGGCATGCATCGCCGTGGTGTATGAACAAGTTGCAGAACAATTTTGGAGAGTACTAGAGGAAATAATTTTTGGCTTGTTAACACATACCCATTTAGGCTGGTGAACCCCTCCGAGTCTATTGTCAACCTCGGCACGGAGGTAAGCCACCTTAGTCGTGCAGTCAGCAGTCTGGGTATAACTGGTGGGAGCCTGATTCCAATATCCTCCCTTGCATTCACAGGGGGAGCCAAAAAGGTGCTCCAAAATATTGGAAGGTGGAGGGTCAAGGCCTCCATATACAAACCTGTTCAAGAGAAGTACCTGAAGCAGGATCCTCACACCAATTGTTGGTTGCATCTGAAAAAGAGGAAAATTCGTCCTCAGGGGGAGGGTTTCCATCCCTGGGTTGGGGTAAGTCATTGACCTGTTTAACCAAACGTTCTGGCAACCATCTTGGGGCCGCTTGCTCTTGATCCAAAACACAAGCTGAGCCTCGTCCCCAGATGAGGACAGGATCTGGTCCTTTCCATTTATTTGTAAGGGGATCACGCCACATAACAGGTGGGCGAACAGAATTGGACGAGGGATGCCAGTGTCTGTCTGCGGCCGAATGGCCTTCACTGTCTAGGGTAAGAAAATTAAGGGCAAATAGCGCATGGCTGAGGCGATCTCTGGGGGTGGTAAATACAAGGGCAGAAGCCTTAAGGCGAGTCAGCCACGTCTTTAAGGTAAGGTGGGCACATTCCACAGTGCCTTGTCCCTGAGGGTTGTATGGAATCCCAGTAGTGTGACAAATTTGTAAGGTGGAACAGAACTGTTTAAACTTGGCACTGATATATGCAGGGCCATTATCTGTTTTGATATGCGTTGGTTTGCCCATTACGGAGAAGGCTGAGACAAGATGAGAAAGGGCATCTTTGGTAGCCTCTCTAGAATGTGGTGATGCAAAGATAAAGCCACTAAAGGTATCTATGGAAACATGTATATACTTGGTTTTTCCAAACTCAGGAAAATGAGTAACATCTGTCGCGACCCCTCGCCAGCCAGGGAAACACGACACAGGATTCTTCTTTCAACAGTTTATTCAGGCCTTGAGTCATGTATCATCTTCTAGCGCCCGCTCCCGTCACACTCAAGCACAGCTTAATAAAGCCCCCTGCATCCCAATCCCAAGCCGCCACGTGGATCTCTCTCATAGGGTGGTAAGGGATTGCGTGCCAACTCTCCATAAAAGGAGTTGTTTACCACAGGCCACAGTGGAAGCCGGCGCCATCTTCTAATGGTGGCCACGATCTATAACAATGGCTTACCACAGTTCCCCCTTCTATTTTAAATAACAATGCAGGCGAAAGTAGAGGTCCTATCCCACTGTGCAGAAGTGGCTGCAATGTATGGGTCAGTCCTAAGGAGGCGCCTTCCCCAGACCTGATCCCATATCAGCCGACGCCTTTTTTCGTAGGGCAGGGCGTGGACGTCAAACCCGCATGCAATAGAACATGCTTTCCTTGAGGTCCGTTGAGGGATCACTCAAGTGCAGTGCTTTGCCTCGCATCCTGCATCGTGATGACGGCGAGAAGTAGGATAACACAGGTAGCCTGGTAATAATAACAAAATTTAAGTTGGCAACACAATCCCTAAGCCCCAGAGGAAGGTAAAGAGTCTGTAGTCGAGAAGAAAGACCAGTCCTGAAACCCATCTGCGTGCAATGGTAACAAGACCTGCAGAGTGCAAGGGCTATTCAGCACTGGGAGAGAATAAGAAAGAGGACATGCCAATCCCAGTGCAATGTGAAACTAACTTGGGGTGCAATGGCCCTGCCCAGAAATCACTGTTTAAGATGTGCAAGCCAGATTTGTGGAGAAATGCCATTTTCTAAGGCCGCAAGAGCCTGTACAATCATAGCCTTTTCTTGTGCATGGCGATTTTTAAGGCAACAGAGAAGCCACAAACAAAGTACAACACCGAAACAACACATTGCCCCCAAAATGCCCACTCCCACCCATTCCTTAAAGAAGGAAAAGGCAGAGGATAGCCAACTGGTGAATTGACCCAAAGTCACTGGTTCGACACGGGTACTATTCAAAACAGCAATCTGCGTTAGTTGAGACTGGATCAAGTTTTCTGCTTCCATGGACCAAGTTCCGGATAGATACTCCCCGATGATGCGGGAGGCATTTCTGGAATCATTAAATCTGACAAAGGTTATACATAAATGCGCACGTTGATCGACACAACCCAAATGTACTAGATCAGACAACTCCTCAACTTGAGCTTGAAGCAGATCTATCCTTTGATTAGCAGCCAGAATCCCAGATAAAATGTATTGATTAATTCTACTTTGAGATTCAAGTATGGTGGATGTTTGTTGAATAACCTGATTAATAGTGGCAGCAGTTTGTACCTGGCTGGCCATGGCTACTCCAGCTGTAACTGCTGCAACAGCAGATACCGCCACAGCTGTCACTATAGCTGCCGTAATTCCAAAATCTCTACGGGCTCTAATCAGTTCAACAATAGGAAAAGACTCTGGATCTGCAGTAACCGGAATCGGGACAAAGGTCGGAACTTTCATGACCACTGCCGTAGTCCAGGAGCCATTCCAACACTCAGACAAATAGCAGGTAATATTAGAACAATTAAGCATCCCCTGTGATGTATCATTAGCCAAAATAAACAGGAACGGAGATTGGAGACAGACTGCTGCGGAGGGTAATGTAGCATTAGATAATTGTGAATTATTTGCAGAAATTTTAAGCCTCCTACCTTGCCCCAAGTCTTGGGTAATGCCAGAAACATTAAACAGCCAACTTTGGACTCCTCGTAATTGAGCCAAAGCGGAAATATCAGCTGTGGCTCCCTTTTCATTGGAAATCAACCATTGAAACCAAGACCAACCTGCTCCTATAGAGGAATTAGTGTTGGAAGAATTATACAAGTATCTTTTAAGAGAGGGGGAAAGAGAGAAACCTTTAGCGACCTGATGTTTCTCCCAAGAATGATCTTGGCAAGGCGTGAATGTTGGGGGGAAGCCACACTTAGGAGAGCAATAAGGAGAAGCCTTAAAATGAGTGGCATTAGAGGTCTGATTAGAAGGAGACAACGGAATTAACACCTGGGAAGTAATGGCCAGAGTGGTAATATTAAGCTCAGAAGTATTTGTCAAATTTCCTGAGCCCTGGTATTTCCCTGAGTTAATTTGTAGGAGCGCTGCAACCAAAACTCCCTGCGAGATCCGACTGTACTGCAATGGGTCCTCCCAGTTAGTCAAGTTCTTAAGTTTTAAATGGATGCAATCACCCTTGGAAAAACTGAAGCAAAAAACTCCTGTGAGATTGATGCTGGAGAGATTGAAGGACCGATCTTGGTCCCCTCTAGGGGAAACACAAGGAGCAGACATCTCACATGAAGTAGAAAAAAGAGTGGGGAGAACACTAGAATTGCTATGAACCGGCATCGGCATTGGCCACGTTCGAGCTACCGCCCACCACTGCATTGATATCCCCTGTACCATCGATATCAGCATTAAAACCAGGACACTCAGTAGAAGGATGGTCCTCATCATGAGATTGTTGCAGCGCCTCCTGTTGTTGGTTGATTGATGTCGGGACTCTTCTTGTCAGGGTTCTGGAACCCACACCGGCTCCGTCCGGTCCTGTGGGAAAACACAGACGGAACCTCGTGTCCATACCAGCACGGGATCAGGCCCATACCATTGTCCAGAAAGTACATCTTTCCACTTAACGTGCCCAAAGTTCGGGGCAGAGGGCGAACAGTGCCTAGTCGCAGCAGAGCGCCCTTGGATGTCCAAATTCAAGAAATTAATAGTAAATAGAGCCAGGGAGAGGCGCTCTTTCATGGTGTGGCCTAAGCCAATTCCCCCTTTTTGTTTTATTAACATCTCTTTTAGAGTCTTATGAGCACGCTCTACAATACCCTGACCTTGTGGATTGTAAGGTAAACCATGGACAAGCTGGATACCCATCTGGCTGCAAAAGGAAGAAAATTGTCGTCCAGTATACGCTGGACCATTGTCCGTTTTAATGGTCTGTGGTAAGCCCCATGCTGCCCAGGCTTCCAAGCAATGCGTGATAACATTTCCAGCCTTTTCACCAGACAAAGCAGAAGCATGGATAATGCCAGAACAAGTATCCACAGACACATGGACATACTTAAGCTTGCCAAAGTCAGGGATATGAGTGACATCCATTTGCCATTTTGTTAAAGACCGCAAACCACGAGGATTTACGCCCACAGAAGGAGGATGATGCAAAATGACACAATTAGGGCAATCCAAGACAATTTGGCGAGCATCAGCACGGGAGATAGTAAAACGCTTTTGAAGTGCTCGTGCATTAACATGAAATTTACTGTGAAAGTTTCTAGCTTGGTCTAAGGAGGAAACGAGGAACATCCAAGAAGGACGAGTAGCAAGGTCAGCTTGGGCATTGCCAGCAGAAAGAGCACCCGGTAAGCCTGTGTGAGCTCGAATATGTAAAGGGTAAAAACAGGCGGAGCGATTCCAAATCAGTGTTTGAAGATGGAGGAAAAGGGAAGACATTACTCCTGAAGTGTGTATGGGACCCACAGCTTCCAACACCTTTAAAGCTTGAACTACATAAATAGAATCTGAGATTAAATTAAAAGGAAACGGACATTGTTCAAAGACTTTTATGACAATTTGTAACTCCACCCATTGTGGATTGCCAGGAGCAAACTGATGTTGGATAGGAGGTTGATCATTTACCACATAGGCTCCAATACCAGTTTTGGATCCATCTGTAAAGATATTTGCAGCTCTTGGGATAGGCGTAGAAGAAGTGATTTTAGGAAAAATGATAGGATGTTCCTTAACAAATGTTATAAGAGGATGTGAAGGATAGTGATTATCTATCTCTCCTGGAAAAGAGCATCGCAATATAGCCCAATTATCCAGGTTAGCACACAAAACTTGAATTTGTTGACACGTATAAGGGACAATCACAGACATTGGAGGAAAACCAAAAAATTGTATACTTTGTTGTATCCCTAACATAGCTAAGGAAGCAACTGCATCAGGATAATACTCAAGAGATTTTGCAGGGGATATATGTGGATGTATCCACAATAAAGGACCATCTTGCCACAAAACTCCAGTGGGTTGCCGTACAGTGGCGAGCACACATAATTGAAGAGGCTTATCCTCTTGACGCCTGCAAAGGCTAGCATGTTGTATAGCCTCCTCCACTTTCAGCAGCGCTGACCTTGCTTCCTCAGTAAGATGCCGAGGGGAAGAAAGGTCTGAATCACCTTTAAGAATTTCATACAAGGGTTTTAATTCAGCATTGGGAATATGTAAATAACCCCTAATCCAATTTATGTCACCCAATAGTTTTTGGAAATCATTTAAGGTACGTAAATTATCAGTCCTGAGAGTTACCTTTTGGGGTGTAATAGTTTTACAAGAGATACTAGCACCAAGATAATCAATAGAACCTCCTGTTTGTACTTTATCAGATGAAATAAGCAAGCCCTTTGATTGCAATAAATGTACCAAATCAGCGTAAGCTGCTTCCAACATATATTTGGTTTTGGCTGCCAGCAATATATCATCCATATAATGTATACACTTTAATAATGGATACTTTTGTCTGAGTGGAACAATGGTCGCTCCTACAAACATTTGACACATTGTAGGACTATTGGCCATGCCTTGAGGCAAAACCACCCATACAAACCTTTGATCAGGTTCCTCATGATTACATGAAGGCAGAATAAAAGCAAAACGTTCGGAGTCCTGAGGATGCAATGGAATGGAAAAGAAACAATCTTTAATGTCTATACATATCACTGGCCAATTTTTTGGAATTGTTGAAAGCAAAGGCAAACCTCTCTGAATGGGTCCCATGGGCTGCATTTGAGCATTAATGGCCCGTAGATCATGTAACAACCGCCATTTTCCAGACTTCTTTTTAATAATAAATATGGGTGTATTCCATGGAGAAGTGGAGGGCTTTATATGTCCCAATTTTAATTGTTCTTGTACTAAAGCACAAGCTGCAGTCAATTTTTCAGAGGGGAGCGGCCACTGAGGAACCCACACCGGCTCCCCTGTATTCCAGGTAATGGGCACCTGATCCTCAGCGGCCCCTAAGAAAAACCCAGCCCATGTCTATTAAGTTTTTGTTGAGGTTCTAAGTGATATCTACATCCCTGTAAATTTTTTCCTAATCCAAGACCTGGTCTATATCCCATGTCCTGCATTATCTTTTGAGCAACTGTTGAATATTCATTACTAAGTTGAAACCCCATGTCCTTCATAAGATCACGTCCCCATAGAGAGATTGGGAGATCGAGCACATATGGTTGAAAAGTGCCAGAACGTCCCTCAGAATCTTTCCATGATAAATGCCTGCAGCTGACTTGTGGAGCTTGAGCGTATCCCAAACCTCTTAGTGATTGATCTGAGAGCTGCACCGGCCACCCCTTTGACCAGTCCTTTAAAGCAATTATGCTACGATCTGCCCCAGTATCTAGTAATCCTAAAATTGATCTGCTTTCTATAGTTAACTCTAAAGTAGGACGGTTCTTCATATCTAAGGACAAGTAAACACAATTCCCTCCGGTGGTTCCAATCTCATCACTTGTCCTCAAAAAGGAATTAGCAGGAAAGCGGGTATGTAAACTGGGTAGAATTAGCAATTGGGCAATCCGGTCTCCTGGGGAAATGGACACAATGCCTTTTGGGGCCTCCACCATAACCTTCACTGTTCCTACCGTGTCCGGATTAATAATCCCAGGGAAAACATGAAGGCCTCGTAGGATAGAGGAAGCACGCCCAATCAGCAAGCCCACAGTGCCAGGTGGTAAAGGTCCTTTAAATTCAGTCTCCACCAGTTGGACTCCCATTTTAGGTGTTAATATGAGTCTGGCGGCGGAGCAGAGGTCCAGTCCCGCGGCACCTGTAGTGGCTCTCCGCGATTCTTGGGATGGCGCAGGGACGGCCATGACTCGGTTTCCATTGTCCCATTTTCCATTGCCCCATATATTTGCGGGCCCTGGGGTCGGGGGGCCCCCCCCGGCCGTTTTTTGACATGTTTCTATCTTTTAAAGGCTGACCATGTATATCTCTGACGGACCTACACTCATTAGCCCAATGCTTTCCCTTTTTACATCTGGGGCATAAGCCCTGTTGACGGCTAACAGAGGTGGCCTCAATTTTGGATGTTCCCTTCTTGTTAGGACATTCTCGTTTAAAATGTCCTCCTTGACCGCACCCAAAACACTTTCCAGCAACAGGGCTGGATTTATGTGATAATTGAAGGACAGCAGCAGCAAGGCCTGCATTAGTTAACGGCCCACCTATTTCTCTACAGACTTTCATCCAGGCCTCTATGCCTTTGTTTTTATAAGGAGTAATAGCTGCTTTACATTCTTTAGTACATTGTTCAAAGACAAGTTGTTTAATCAAGGGCATTGCTCTATCAGGGTCACCAAAGATTTTTCCTGCGGCGTCCACCATCCTGGCAACAAAGTCTGAGAAAGGTTCTGTAGGGTCTTGTATAATTTTTGTCAAGTTGCCAGACACTTCTCCTCTATTTGGGAGTGATTTCCATGCACGGATACAAATGTTATTAATCTGTTCATATACCTCAGGGGGGTATCCTGTTTGTTGATTAGCAAACCTGCCTTGCCCCAAAAGCATATCCTTATCCCAGGCAGGGCGTCCCGCTGCATGATTTTGAGCAGCTTGCTCTACTGCACCCTCTAGCATAAATGCTCTCCAATCCAAGTATTTCCCTGGGGAAACACAAGCGCGGACTAGACTAGCCCAATCTGAAGGAGTCATGCAAAATCTAGTAAGTCCCTCCACCTGAGTAAGGGTGAAAGCGGCATCTATGCCATAAATGCGGACAGATTCTGCCAAGGTTTTAATTATCTTAAAGTCTAAAGGCTCATGATATCTTCCCCTGTTATTGTCCTGAAATACAGGGTATGCAAGTCCCATATCTGTATTAACTGTCCTCCAAACTTGCGCATGAAAAGATCTCCCGGAACCTTGGCTTCCCCCCACATATGGGGGTGGGGCAACCGGCACCATATCTTCTTCTAGATATTCTACCTCCTCCTCCTCAGAGTTTTGTTGACCGATATTAGATCCCTTCCCCTTCTTAAAGTAGGCCTGCGTGCCCTGTATCTCCTTTTTCTTCTTCTTCATTTTTATCTTGCGTAGTTGTTGTAGCAATATATCAAGGTCTTCAGAACTCTCTGAGTCGCTTATGTTCTCAGGCGTTTTTAATTCGGTCAAGTCTGGGTAGAGCCTTCTCCTATTTTTATTTTCAGGCTCTTTTGCCTTCTCACTACTCTTACTCTTAATACTCTCTGCCACTTCACTATGTGATCCTTCAGATTTCTCCTCATGTAGTTGCTCAAGAACAGCTTGACCCTCACTCACAGCTTCTTGGCATTTACTATCTACTATACATCCTCTAACTAACTTCCAAAGTGGTATAACACCACCCTCTAAGGTGCCTTGCTCACGAGCAAAATCTAGATCTTTCCCTAATTTGTCCCAGCTAGGAATCGTAAGACTCCCTGAAAAGGCAAACCAAGGAGCCGCTATATCAGCTTCTCTCAAAAACATCTGCAAAGTACTCTGCTTTACCTTAAGTCCTT